CAATTTTTCGATAAAATCCTATTGTCGAATTTTGACCCGAAAAATTTGTTCAGATGAAGATCTCAGTGATATTAGCTTATACACAAAATTTCAGAGGTTTTCGATTGAATGTTTTTGAGATATGCATTTTCCAGACTTCAGATGATTTTCCATTCATACCATATAAAACATGTATATTTTGGAAGATGCATATTCAGAGACACCCAATGAAGAACTTCTAAAATTTCATACATAGGCTAGTCTTACAGAGATCTTCATCTGGGCAAAGTTATCAGGTCCAAATTTGACAATACGATTTTCTCTAAAATTTGGGTCCATAAAAAGAAAGGTCACTAAAGCATCAATATCTCAGCCAAATCTTCACGTCAGTACGAATCATTTAGAGAGTATTCTCGATTATTAATCCCCTACAGCTGGGTGCAATATAGACTCACAAGCTTTTAATCATCTGGGAACCTTCTCTCTTTAGTGGAATCACTAACCATGCTAACATTCTGTGACTCTTATACTTTTGATTTGCAAAAAATATTATTCGATCTAAACATCAAATTTGAAATATTGCTAAAACTTACGCAGTTATCATTACTAGCAAATCAAAAAGAAAATGTCATATCTGAAAATATATATGTAAACTTTTTTTATTAGATATATAATATGAAACAAATAGTACATCATCATAATGTGTCTTCTAAAATCAAAACAAATCGTGTAAATATAACGAACAGTGAAACCAGTATTGTTTTTATTAGAAGAGTATCAACTAGGTATATAAATGTGTAAATACTACAATTTAACTTAAAGTATTCAAAATCGATTTTGATATTTAATAATAAAAAGATTTCAGTAGAATATTATTAAGATTTCTAATCATTGAAAACTCATTTAACCACTTTTTGAAATGCGATATTAAAATATTATCAGTATGCATTTAGAGAAAAGATAATATGCACCAAATATCATAGCTCCATTTGTATAATACAATACTATAATTTGTCAATATTGTTTTATTATTCGAGCATTTGTAATATATGTTGAACTATTTCCTTAATTAAATATACAGGTTAGCTAGTGTTATTGTGGAATAAAACTTGAAGAAAATTCCAAATATTGAAAATGAGATGAGCGAAATCCCACCAATCATCAGCTGCATATTTTGAGGGTCAAATTATTTTCGTAGCTCTCCATGCTTTTATTAATTTACCGTTTAAGATATATAGTAGTAATGGTAAACGATTTTTTAAAGAACCATTTTAAGTATAATATTGAATAAAATCTTATCTAAAGAATTTTAGAAATCTAATGAATATCAAGTCTTTTTTTCTATTAACCGAAGTATTTGAAAGAAAAACAGATTAGAATAAGAATACTTATGTTCATTTGAAAAAACTATCTCACTGATTATACTTTTTTATCACTCACGTTGAATAAAAAGACAACGAATAGATTAACTCGTTGAACTTGCTATCTTTTTTCTATTAATCTACCTTATTTATTATACTACGTACTATATGATTTGTATCAATTAATTATAAACAGTGGAGATTGAATATATTTTTTTCATTTTAATCTATTCTTCAAGCAGCCACGACAGGAAAACATCCTAACTTGGTGTGTTTACCATAATGGTACATATGATGGATGGTCTATATTCAAAGAGTCACTTTTGTTCTCTCTGTTTGTTTTAGACTTTTTATTAAGTGTCGTTCAATAGTCTACAGTTAAAAAATTGTCTCTACTAGAAAATAACATAACTGTTGTCCTTAAAACACTAACTATTATTCTAGCGTAAAAAATAGAAAACTAAAAGAATTCCAACAACTCATATTGCATCTTCATGATAAAATGAAGCATTCCAATCTATAGATTTTGATAGTGCTATGGAATATGGTTTAGGGTTCAAAGACAATTTGATGGAGGTGACCAATGGACTTCACATTTTTTATCCACACATTTGCATAGACTCACAGCAACAGTCATGTTAAAAATATATACTCGTCTGCTGCTATTTTACCACGAAACTTGAACGATGGAGCATTTTTCTGAATGAAATTGGAGTACTAAATTGTAGAATGTTATTAGTTTTTTATTTTTTTAAGTCAACATAATAATTGACATTTGAAGAAAAAAAAATTAGACGACTTCCTAAAGCAAAGGCTTTTTCTTCTGATTTTTAAACAAAATTATAATAAAGCAATTTAAAAAGAAAAACAGTAAATAAAATACATTCATTCAACCCGATGTCACTCGTTACTTTTCGTCCTTTTCGCTTGTGATAAAAAGAGTTGTTAATACTTCAAATTGACTTTCACGAGTAGGAGTTTGTGAGTATAGGTAGCTGCAGGTGATTGTACGTGTAGGTGTGGAGTGTGTGTAATAACAGTGAGTTCGAGCTAGGAAATTCCTTTTGAGTTACTCTTGCCTGGAGCCCTCCATTCCATTCTATATTTGCACTCTCATTAACCAGACTTCTTTATTTTGGCAGACATGCGCTCGAACTTTTTTCGTATTTCTTCTGTTTTCGAATGCAGCTACTTTCTAGAGCTTGTTAAAAACTGCTAGATGCACGATGGTAATACTTGTTATTTTACTATCTGGCTCATTAGAATTTTCAACATTATTTTTGGATTTATTGATAATTCTATATGCACAATAAAACTGATTTATCATTCTCGTTTGATTTTTACTTACTTTGTTCATTCTAAACACAAATAATTAAGGTTGACTGAGAGATGTGTCCGACGTGATAAAAGAATAGAAATAAAATCATCCCATGAAGGTATCATTTGACCATTGTCCTGTTTTAACTTTACCATTGGCATAGTAAAGCGTGCCTTTTCCGTTCATCTTGCCATCCTTGAATTGTCCCATCAGGTGTTCGTAGATTGTATCAACTATGCTTTCTTATACATAAACCATCACAATGGACCAGGAGAAGAGATTTGTGAATACTCCTTCTCGTATCGATTGCCACTGGGCCAAGTATAAACACCTTGACCTGTTTGCATGTCGTCGACCCAATCACCTGTATACTTGCTCCCATTGGCAAAGTAAAACGTGCCTTTTCCGTTCATCTTGTCATCCTTGTATTGTCCCATCAGTTGTTCGTAGATTGTATCAACTATTCTTTCTTATACATAGACCATTACAATGGACCAGGAGAAGAGATTTGTGAATACTCCTTCTCGTATCGATCGCCATTTGGCCAAGTATAAACACCTTGACCTGTTAGCATGTCATTGACCCAATCACCTGTATACTTGTTCCCATCGGCATAGTACAACGTGCCTTTTCCGTTCCTCTTGTCATCCTTGTATTGTCCCTCGTATCGATTGCCATTGGTCCGTGTAAAAACACCTTGACCTGTTCGCATGTCATTGATCCAATCACCTGTATACTTGTTCCCACTGGCAAAGTAATGCGTGCCTTTTCCGTTCTTCTTGTCATCCTTGAATTGTCCCATCAGTTGTTCATAGATTGTATCAACTATTCTTTCTTATACATAGACCATTACATTAGATCAGGCGAAGAGATTTGTGAATACTCCTTCTCGTATCGATTGCCATCTGGCCAAGTAAAAACGCCTTGACCCACTTTCTTGTCGTCGACCCAATCACCTGTATACTTCTGCTCATTGGCAAAGTAAAACGTGCCTTTTCCGTTCTTCTTGGCATCCTTGAATTGTCCCATCAGTTGTTCGTAGATTGTATCAACTATTCTTTCTTATACATAGACCATCATAATAGACCAGAAGAAGAGATTTGTGAATACTCCTTCTCGTATCGATTGCCATCTGGCCAAGTAAAAACACCTTGACCCGCCATCTTGTCATCGATCCAATCACCTGTATACTTCTCCCCACTGGCATAGTAAAACGTGCCTTTTCCGTGTTTTTTCTCGTTCTTCCATGCTCCTTAGTCGTTGTTCTCTTATAATGTAAAAGATTTGACAAACATTCATCAACATTGAATAACGAAATTTGCCATCATATGATATGCGAACTGTGATATCATATTTGTTTCCATTTTCGTCAGTCCAGATTTTAAATGTTGAGGATTCGTTATTTGGCAATGCTTCTTTGTAATCTAGGAAGTAACAATCATTGTCTACTTAACCTATTACACAGTAACTACTCACCCATTTGAGGTTTGATTGATGTAGTGACACCCATATTTGCAAAGGATGATGTTAATTCTTGATCATTTGCATCGACCAATTCGCGCAAGTGTATCACATTTAATGACGCATGATCTAATGCATCACTGACAACACGAAGTCGAGTACCCAATGGAATAATAACTTCATTTTCTTCTGAAAAATTGCTATATATTGATATAGCTTTTCCATTCTTTACTTCAATCATGAACAATGTTGATATGGATCCAAGAAACTGTTTGACGACTTTAATTGAAGATGAACACGAGCTAAAACACCACCAAGTTAGCTCATCGTTTTCTTTGTAATTTTGACTAACGTCACCATTGATACCACGCCATAAGTTGATTTGAAGACTAGGTAGTTTTTTTAATGCAGTATCAAATAATTTGAGATAACCATGCCATGGTATTAATACAGATCGATCTTTCTCACGAAGAACTCCATTGAGTATTCGATAGAGACTTTGTTCACCCCAATCCATAGTATATAGATAAATTGACGCTGATTCTTCACGAGTAAGACCATGTTCTGAAGGAAAATGACATTCACTCTTTGCAATTTTAATAAATTCATCTAATTGATCTATTTTAGAGATAATAGGATCAAGAGCTTGTCGAAGTGGAAGAAGCGGATGAGTGCGATATCCATAGACAGGTGGAAGTCGTGTTGGTTTATGATCGACGTTAGTGAATCGAAGCATTGTTATAGAATATTGTGAATTCCTTTGTTGATCGTGATGAAGTTACACTCACTTGTGATGAATATACGACGTTAGGATTGGAAAGTTTTTCGAGCTTTCAGATGTTTTTTTGTTTTCAATTTGAATTACTGCAAGCCTTTATATGTGAAGTCAACAGAAGCAGCATTATCTTTCTTCATTTTTTCTTTTAGATTGAAATAAATTTCTGAGATAAGATAAAAGTGATATTACTTTAAAAGCGAAGACCATTTGTTGACATTGGTGTGCGCAGATATATATTACTCATAGAAAGAAAAAGTCAAATGAGATAAGAAGAAAGAACGAGGCAAGAGTAATGTGGAGAATAAATATTCATAAAGTTCACGAGCAGTCGGAAGTAGATTATGGTTGACTTGTTACAATAGTTGTACTGCAGCTTATTAAGTATTTAATAATATAGTCGAATTTCATATTCATTAAATGTTCAATGATGAGTTCGTAAAAATGACTTTCATTTTTATATCAGAAGCTGTTTGATATCTCTTTCAGAGTTTGAAATTTGAACTTCGCTTCATAGCATATAAAATTAAGCTTTCGAATTAAATAGTCTTATAAGGCGCTAAAAAAATGTGAAATGTTTAAATGATTGGAATTGAAAATATAATTGACTAAGCTCACAAAATGATGATTTTCATTTCCTTCCAAATTTCACCATTCAATGTGATCATTTGATTTGAGTCTCAAGATCTAGTTCTGATTACAAAGATTATTAATGATATTTTAAAAGGGAGGCCGGAATTTCGGCCCACGAATTTTTCGTCCCGGACTTTCGGCCCGGTCCGAAATTCCGGTGATTTTTCGTCCCGGGCCGAAAGTCCGAAAGGAATTTCGGACCGAACTTTAATTTATCTAATTAATTTTGTAGATAATTAGTAAACTTCATGGTGCTCAGCACTATGCACTTTCAATAAAACGTTGTGCCTGGCAGTATGACATAGTGCTTAGCCAGACAGTCTAGTATGCAGCACTATGCATATTGACATAATAAATTCTTTTGGCAATTCGGATATTGGTCGAAACACAGGTTAAATATTCTGTGGACGAAGCTGGTGCAATATTTAAGAAATGAATACAGAACTCAGCAATACGAATTCAGGTGACATGATAATTATAACGTTCTGCTGTATCTGTGTATTTCTTTGTCTATTTTATTTAGGAGATATACTGCTAAGCATCATGTCATCATACCCTGCACTATGTCGTACTGCTAGGCATTATACCATCTTGCCGAACATCATGTCATGCTGCCAAGCACAACGTTTTATTGAAAGTGCATAGTGCTGAGCACCATGAAGTTTACTAATTATCTACAAAATTAATTAGATAAATTAAAGTTCGGTCCGAAATTCCTTTCGGACTTTCGACCCGGGACGAAAAATCACCGGAATTTCGGACCGGGCCGAAAGTCCGGGACGAAAAATTCGTGGGCCGAAATTCATGTAACCCTTTTAAAACAACGATGCATAATTTTTCAATTTTGCATGAAATTGCATTTATCATCAATTCAACAAAGTTCTGATAGTTCTTTATGAATCGATAAAATATCGTCTTTATCCTTACATTTTGAGATATGTTTTAGATTAAATTCTTGAAGATAAATGAAATTTAGGTCAGTAACTTGTGTCTGAACACAGGTTCACTGGTTAAATGATGCAATGTTCGAAGCATTTCTTTTACGCACAATACATCAAGTTTGCTTTCTCTAGTATGTATATGCATCAACAAGTCAATCCTCATGGTGAAGCAAAACAAAGAAAAAGAAACAGAATTCGTTGATTTTGCGGAGAAGGTAAGCAAACCAGCCACGGATTTATTTTCTATAGTGATCAAGAAAAAATTCAATCCACATGACGTCTTGCAAGTTGGAAAGAAATAACGCCTATGGTTGTATTAATGTGTTCGGACCGGCAGATATTTGTTTTTCTTTCGTATAAAGCGCTTCTTTGAGATGCTATTCATCCAGTTCCAACAGAGAATGGAGAATTTCGTCATCGATCGATTGGAACTTTTTACACGTCACAATTGTTTCGGTTGATTTATATAGAAGACGATGGAGAAAAGGATGAATGTGCCTCGCTTTGTTACGACTTGCCGAAAGAATGAGTAGGATATATCAAAATGAGTTGCGAAATAAAAACAAAAGAACTTCTCTAGTTGTATATGGACATACTTTTCATGAATAGGTTCTACTAAACTAAAACTTTCATCCTATTCAAACACTCCAACAATAGGAAAGTTTCAAAAGTATGATCGGAACAAAAATTATATCATTGTATACATTAAACAGCATTAATGTTTCTTTTCTCAATGTAATGGCGCAATCAAGAATGGGCTACATCGACTGCCATCCTATCAATGGAATAAAGAAAAACATAATAATGGGTACGATAGAAGAAATTGCCAGTATTTGATATGGGTGTTTTCTCGACTTATGCTTGATCAGAAAACTTCGTTGTACTGTTAAAAGATAGAAAATTTTGCTTAGATTTTATGAATATGTTCCTTTTAAAATGATCTTTTGTTCTGTTCTTGTAGTGCTAAAGGTGCTGGCTACCACAAAAACATAATTTGCTCAATATTTTACTTGAATAAAATGTCATTTTTCTTCGTTAAATAATTTCATCGATGCTATCCAAATCCAGTATGAAAAGAACGTAGAAACATATTTGTTTTTGAGACACAACACCAAATTCTCTGATAAATATTTTTTCTTTTTAAAAGCCACTTGCAAAAAAAAAGGTCTATTTGTTCATTTTTGGCGTCTTTTTGTCAAGGAAAAGATCTTAGCTTCATCACTAGATTACAAATGCAATTCAGTTCTTATGATAAAGAGCATTTTGTAGAGCTTGAAATTCTGCATCTATTGATATAAAAAGAATACTTTTTTTGTAAATTCAATTTTTCAAAATATTGGCAACAAAACCTATGATTCCGTTGGCTAAGCATACTTTTTTTTTTAGTGTTTTGTGTTTTCATTTTAAGTAGAAACAGCTAAGCATATAAAAACCAACATAACAGTAGATATACCGAAAAATTTTATATCTCTTACCACTAAGAAGAAATTTTTGAACTAAAATTAACTGGACAACTGTTTCTGTTCAAAAGTGTCTCATTTTACAGTTTAGCAAAATATGTTTTTGTGATATACAGTACCTTTAATGTCTCAGGAAAAGAACAAATGCTCATTCTGAAAGGAACATATCAATAAAATCTACGCAAAATTTTCTATCTTTTAACATCAGAACGAAACTTTCTGAGCCAGCTTAACTTGAGAAAATAATCTATCAAAAATCGGCAATTTCTTATGCCATACCCGTTAATTAGTATCATTGGTATTATATTTTATAGATTACCCCTAAGATTATAGAACACTGCCATACCACTCACGATCTGCTGGTTACATCACTATTACTTGTTGGCAAAATATCAGCTTGATTGGATAATCTCAGTTGGAGACGTTCCATCGTGAGTGGAATGAGCATTTTTATTTCTTAGACATGTATATCATGATAAATATGAAATATACTCTTTTATAACTCATCATGATTTTTCGTCATATCCTTTTTTATATCTTTTTAATATTTTTATTTGTCTTCTGAGATAGAATAATTTGATGATAGACTGAAATATTTTTGAGTTTTATTTATTTAGATGAAATAAAAATATCACACATGCCACAACTACATAGTGTGATAGAACAGTCACAATAGTTTCATTATAATCCAAGTTATAATAAGTACCAAAGATAAAGCTATTGATAACCTTAAAGAAAAATTATATTTCATAATGTTATTTTTCAATTTTGCTTTACTTATCTGTATATTGAGAAACTCGCTAAACATATAAGCAAAAATAAAATTAAATAGAAGAAAAAGACAAAAATAATGGAATTACCTGTCGATGTTTTCACAGTTGTTGTCGATGGTGCTTGACATAATCGATTATCGATCAAAGCAAAAAATTGAACACAATGATTGCAGGCATCACTTACATATAGATTGCCATTACTATCAAATGCCAAATCAGTTGGATGATGAAATTGATTATTTTCATTCACTTCACCTAATCATAAAAATAGTTCATTTTTTCTTCTTCGCGAGTTCGGTAGCATAAAATAATCAGAATTTACGCACATTGATAACAGAAGCCTTCTGATGATCATTGAGCTCACGAACTCGCATTTTTGTTTTCTTTTCTTTCTCAAATGTCCTTATCTTGGTTGTGGGTGTGGGTGTGTTTCTTCGATTCACCCAGCCACCAATTCTCAATCTTTAATTAGCTTCTGTTTACACTTCGTACATATGTAAAATTTTAATTTTAAAAATGTATTGATACCACCTACAGGATATGTTCCTAGCTGAGATCGGAATAAGTCATGCTTTGGGATTTTGATTTATTGATAGTAATATAATCTCTTCGTGTTATCTGTCACATCCTACATAAATAACAAATTTTCATTGCTATTTTAACTTGCAAAAGTTTACTACTTTGAAGATTTTGACTAACATACCTCTCTGTTGTTATTTTATTGTATAGCGGATTCTCTTCTTAAATAGCTACATCATGTTGTTAATATGTTCGTAAGGTTACTTAAGAGTTTCAAGCAACACTGGATACTAAAGATTTTTTTGTCATTAGTCAGGCAAATACATCTCTGCTATATACATGAATGTGTGTTTCACAATGACGTATGACTCTTGAATTTTTTTTTTGTTTTCGAGAAACATTCAGAACAGACTAACGTCTTCGACGTACTACATTTAATCGAGCTCCAAATTTTTACAAGTAATAGACATTGCTTCAAGTAGATATTTTCTTAAAAAACATAATTTCTTTAGTCTTTTGCAAACGGTAGGTGAATAGATGGGATAAGTATAGGTTTTCTCCTCACCCGAATTTACACCCACACTCTCAAAAAGTATTATACTACGTCAACTATAAAGTAGCCTCTACATAATATT